AGGTTAATTAAGTAAGTCAGGCACACAAAGATATATACTGCATGTTCTCACAAGTGGAAGCTAAAAAAGTTTGTTTCATAGAACTAGAGAGTAGAATAGTGGTTACTAGAGGCTGGAAGGGTAGTGAGGAGGGAAGATACAGGTTGGTTAACAAATGCAAAATTACTATTGGATAGGAAGAATAATTTCTAGTGTTCTACAGCACTACAGGCTGACTATAATTAGCACTAATTTATTGTATATTTGAGCTAGAAGAGACGATTTTGAATGTTCCCAAATGAAAGAACGCATTAAATGTTTGAGGTGATGGATATGCTAATTACCCTGATTTGATCATTACACACTGTATACATGAATCAAAATATCACACTGTACCCTGTAAACATGTACAATTGTGTGTCAATTAAGTTTTTAAAAATTATGAAATAAGTGCTGGTGAAGATATGGAGAAATCAGAAGGCTTGTACATTCTTGGTGGGAATTTAAAATGGTGCAGCCACTGAAGAAAACAGAATGGCAGTTCCTCAAAAAATTATAAACAGAATTACAATATAATCCAGTAATTCGTCTTCTGGATATACACCCAAAATAACTGAAACCAAGGTTGTAAGGAGATGTTTGTACACACATGTTCATAACAGCATCATTAATAGCTAAAATGTGGAAGCAATCCAGGTGTCTGTAAACAAATCAATAAATACAGTATATACGCAGAATGAGATATCATTAAGCCTTAGAAAATAATGAACATTAGGTCAAGTGTGGTGGCTCACACCTGTAATTTCAGTACTTTGGGAGGCTGAGGTGGGCAGATCACCTGAGGTCAGGAGTTCGAGACCAGCCTGGCCAATATGGTGAAACCACATCTCTACTAAAAATACAAAAATTAGCCAGGTTTGGTAGCAGGCGCCTTTAATCCCAGCTACTTGGGAGACTAAGGCAGGAGAATGGCTTGAACCTAGGAGATGGAGGTTGCAGTAAACTGAGATCACGCCAATGCACTCCAACCTGGGCAACAGTGAGACTCTGTCTCAAAATAATAACAACAATAATAATGACATCATGCTAAGTAAAATAACCCAGTCCAAAAAAAAAAAAAAAAAAGACATCATGCTGAGTAAAATAACCCCCCCAAAAAAACAAAACAAACAAACAAAAAAAGACAAATACTGCTTGATTCCACTTACAAAGGTATGTATAGTCAAAAATCCTAAAAGACAGAAAGTGAACTGGTGATTACCCGGGGTTGGGAGGATGGGGTAATGGGGAGTTATTGTTTAATGGGTACAGTTTGTTTTACAAGGTGAAAAGAACTCTGGAGATGGATGGTAATGATGGTTCCACAATATGAATGTATTCAATACCACTGAATTGTACACTTAAAATTAGTTAAGATAAAAAAAACAAAAAACAAAACAAAATAAAACAAAAAATTAGTTAAGATGCAAGATTTTATTTTTATGTGTATTTTATCAATTTTCAAATATTGGAAAAAAATTAATGAAATCCCAATAAAACTGCAAACAAACTTTTTTATGGAGCTAGACATTAATATTCAAGTTGATATGAAAAAACAAACATACAATACTAGCTAGGAAAATACTGAGAGAAAAACTCTAAGGACCGAGTACCACCACCAGATATTAAAGCATACTATAAAGCCTCTATAATTAAAGTATCATAATAATGGTGCAGGCGCCTAAAGTCCCAACTACTTGGGAGGCTGAGGAGGGAGGACTGCTTGAGCTCAGGAGTTCAATGTTACAGTGAGCCATGATCATGCACTCCAGCCTGGGCAACAAACACAGACTCTGTCTCTAAATAAAAATTGAAACAAAATTTTTTTTTTAATTGTAAAATGGCACATGAACAAGACAACCAGATGAGTGAAACAGAATAGAAAGTCCAGAAATATACCCAAGTATATATGGAAATTTAAAATACAATAAAAGCATCATTATGAATCACTGGGGCAAAGACAGGTTTTTAATAAAAGTGTGAGACAATTAGCCACTTAGAAAAAACTAATTAAATCCATACCTCACAGCATACAAAAAAATACACTTCAAATAGATCACAGAACTAAATGTAAAAAATGAAACCATACAAGCAAAAAGAAGTGAATTCCTCTTTAACCTCAGTTCAGGGAGAGACTACTAACTCTGACTTAATACCCAGAAGCAATAACAGATTAAATTTGATTACATAATAAAAATTTTTGCACAGCAAAAAAATAACAGAAGCAAACTCAAAAGACTGTTGACACACACTGACAGGAAATATCTGCAGCATAATCCTGATATATAAAGAACTCCTAAAAAGCAAGCTAATTAAAAAAAAAAAAATTAAGCAAGGTAAAAAAGGCCAAAAAAACCAAGTACAATAGGGAAAGACAGGAACAAACAATTCATACAAAAATGATGTAAAAATGGCCCTTAAACAAATGAAACATTGCTCAATCTCATTTATAATGTGAGAAATGCAAATTAAACTACACTAAGATGCAAAGTGATATAATTCTCTTGGATGGAAATTTGGCAATATCCAACAAAACTGCATATGATTTACCTTTTGACCCACCAATTTACTTCAGAAATTCATCCTGAAGATACAGCTCCAGAAAATGAAAATATTTACATGTACAACATTATTGATTGCATCATCAGTTGTAATCACAAAATACTGGAGGCCAGGTGCAGTGGCTCAACACCTATAATCCCAGTACACTGGGAGGCCCGAGGTGGGCAGATCAACTGAAGCCAGGAGTTTGAGAGCAGCCTGGCCAGCAAGGTGAAATCTCACCTCTACTAAAAATACAAAATTTTAGCCAGTTGTGGTGGCATATGCCTGCAATCTCAGCTGCTCAGGAGGCAGGAGAATCACTTGAATCCCAGAGGCGGAGGTAGAGGCTGCAGTAAGCCAAGATTATCCCACTGCCCTCCAGCCTAGGCAACAGAGCAAGACTCTGTTTCGGAAAAAAAAAAAGACAAAATATTGGAAACTAAATAAACCTAAGAGATTGTTTCACTAAACACTGACAGAAACACATAGTGGAGTGCTATGCAGCCATAAAAAAGAATGAGGTTAATCTCTATGAACTAATCTGAAGCAGTTTCCAGGGTACACTGATAAGAAAGAAGGAAAAATACAATGACATCTGGTATTTGTGAGGAACAACAACAACAACAAAAAATGTAGGAAGTCTAAACCAGAAACTAATGAGATTAATCTCACATAGGGGCAGGACAGAGGAGAAAAGATGAGGGAAATGGGAACAGGGTAGAGCAGATGTGGGAAGTGGCACCTTTCTGAGGTTTTTTTTTATTTTTGTTTGTTTGTTTTTTGGTATATTATAGTTCTGTCTTTTAGAACCATGTAGATATTTCAAAAGCCCAATATATAAATAAATAAATAAACAAGGATGATGTATGGACTCAAAATAGAATAGAACAGAAAGAATAAACCTGCTTTATAAGTGAATAACAAACCACATTAAAGGAGAATTCAGGGAGAAAAATCATAAGTAACTTTGGAAAACAATATTTTGACTATATACTCTAAGGTTAAAGATAAAAACAACTATACACAAATATTACATATAAGTTAATGGGTTTGTTTTTCATTGAGTGATGAGTTAGCAATTCTAAAACAATTTTATATTCTAGGACTGAGTAAATACAGTATGAATAATGAATATCAGTTTTCTCACTGTCAAAAGAATTGCAAGTATGAAAAGAGGAAGGCCAGAATGAACTCCATGGTGCTAGAACAGAGCCGGAAATATCAATGTAAACTCAAGATTATTAATATAGAGAAAAAAATAAAGAAATAGACATAAATGTGTACTTTTCAGTTCACTGAGAGGACCTAGAAGCAGTGACTCTCTAGTACCAACAAGCATACCTAGAGCTGAGATTTTGGTTTCTAAATGCCATTCTCCAATTAAAAAGGAATCAAAGCACCTCAGAGAAATGCTTAATTCCAGGGCTGGGGCAGGGAAAGTGAAAGAGAATCATAGAACATCCTATAAAGATAGAAGAAAGTCACAATAAATCGTGGGATTATGTCAAAAGGACATGGGATTCAACTTGAAAGATCTTCCAATAGTCAAATCTGAGAGAAGTTGAGCAACACAAAATATTATAACAAAATATTATAATCTATAGAAAAAATATGAATGTATAAATCCATAGTGATATAAATATATCTAGAGGAGAATGGAAAGCTCTTCCTTTCAGGAGAATTTCAACTAATAAATGTGGAAGGATCACAGAAATGGAAAGATCACCATTTGGCAAACGCTAGAATTATAACTGTTTCAGATAACAATTATCAATGGATACTAAAATTAATGGAAGAATATATAAAGGCAAAATATGAGAATATTTACATAGACTTGAAATATCATATGGGCAACCACAAGATAATTATATATTACAAAGGGAAAAAAATAGTAATTTTATAGGGGAAAAACATGGCAGATAGCACCTTAACTAAGTGATCAAAGTTAAAATCACCAGTTAAGGGGCCAAATCATGAACCTCCTAATATGATGCACTGAGGACACATGACTTTGATGTTTTCCTAAAAATGCCTAACCTGAATTTAACCATGAAAAATGCAATACAAAACCAAATTGAGAGAGGATATACAAAATACTGATAAGTATTTGTCAAAGTGTTCATATGTTCCATATTAAAAGTAACTAAATGCAATGTGTGATCCTGGATTGGGTTTTAGACCAGAAAAAAGACATCAGTGGGACAACTGGTAAAATTTGAGTACAGTTAATAGATTTTATAATAGTAATGTCTGATTTCCTGATCATATTCATATTAATTTCTTAATCTTGGTTATTATAATATGGTTACATAAGGTATCCGTATTTGGGAGATAAGGGTGAAGGGCACATGGGAATTCTTTGTACTACTTGTACATCATTTTGTTAACTCTGACATTATTTCAACATGAAAAACTTTAAATATCTATGTATATATCACCTAACACTCTGAAGCTCCTTCCTGGTGATCTCTTCTGCCATCTGTGAAGCCCGCAATTTCTCCTCATACTGATCCTTTTCAGATTGCCTCCAGACATCATGTTCTACTTTCATTTTCTCCAAATCTGCTAATCTGTTCTCGAGTTCTAACCTAAAACAAGAGATCATAATTATGTTACAAGAACTATAATAAAGATGATATAACAGCAAAATGTTTTCATTTGCAAGGATATTTAAGTCAAACTAAGGTAATTAAGTACTTACTTTTCATCTTGTAATACCACAAGTTTTTGATAACCTTCTTCTTTGGCAGCTTGTACTTTACGTATTAATTCACGATCCTTTTCTACTAAGAGCACTTTGTGGTGTTCAACAGCTGCTTTGAGAATTTCATTGTCTGACTGTAATCCTAGTGTTTTTTAAGGAGAAAAATGTACTATATTCAATGTTACTAAGATGAAAAGTCACATTTAACAGCAAGTATTCATAAGCTGGTAAGACAACTAAAAGAATGTAGAAAGTCTCTATGAATATATATTCTCAATAATACTCACATCATTAATAAACTCTCTTAAAATAGAGAATGAAACAGGATAAAACTCAGAGCAAATTTTCCTGTCACTGTTTATTTAGTGCATACACATATAAAAACTTTAATAAAAGGCTATATACATTTACTCATTCGAACACTGAGAGTTGAGAACAACCTGGATGATAAACCAGAGGTTTACTTTCTTCACTTCTAAAGGGGTTCTGTGACCTAAGCCTCTAAGACAGCATCATAGACAAAGCTGGCCGATAGCAGAGTGAAATAAATCACAAAACCCTTCAAAACCTGTTGATTCTAGCAGAACTGCTAGATTTCTAGCAGAAGTATAAATAACACGGACACTTTCAAGTTTGTACAATGAATTCAGAAATCTTTGTGATGAAATGGCAAATACTTTGCAGATGGAATAATTAAAGCAAACTCACATCTAACTCAAAGTAAAAACAAAATGCAGCATCCTTTAAGTTCCTAAAAAAATTTACTCCCTAACTCTATGGAAATCCATGAGCCAAATAAATAGAAATCAATAATTGGAAAAAATCATTCACAGCATACAGACACGGTGTTAGCACCTGTAGTCCCAGTTACTGAGGAGGCTTAGGCAGGAGGATCATTCGAGCCAAGGAATTCAAAGCTAGCCTGGGCAACAACGTGAGACCCCGTTTCAAAACATGAAAGGCATTCATCATAAACTCTGTCTGAAATGAGTTCAACTACAGATCAACTCAAGGATAGCTATAGGCCAAATGTAAGCTTATTTAAATACTTCAAGTTAGAAACAACATAAATAATGAAGAAACCTGATGAGATGGATGTTCTAAGATTAAACTGGAACTTAAAAATAAGCCTCCTTGGCCGGGTGCACGGCTCACACCTGTAATCCCAGTACTTTGGGAGGCCGAGGCAGGCAGATCACGAGGTCAGGAGATCAAGACCATCCTGGCTAACACAGTGAAACGCTGTCACTACTAAAAATACAAAAAATTAGCCAGCCTGGTGGCGGGCGCCTGTAGTCCCAGCTATTCGGGAGGCTGAGGCAGGAGAATGGCATGAACCTGGGAGATGAAGTTTGCAGTAAGCCGAGATCACGCCACTGCACTCCAGCCAGAGGGACACAGCAAGACTCCGTCTCAAAAATAAATAAATAAATAAAAAATAAAAAAATAAGCCTACTCTACACTAGGCTACAATGACTGGCCTAGGGTCTACATAAAAAAAATTTTTTAATTGAAAAAAATTAAGCCTGGAACCCAATTATCTTCTTCACATTCTCTAGACTTAAAATGTCCTGGGAGTGATAAACTACACAATAAATAGATTTAAGATTTATAAATCACGAAGTATGGCATCCCATTTACAAAGTTCATTTATGTATCCAAAAACTATGATAAAAACATAAGACTGATTTTTTAAAAGTTGTTAAGTCTTACAATGAACAAAACACTCAACATATAATAAACATTTCATATGTACTCCAAAATTAAAACTAAACTACGTTGAAAATCTGGAAATAAAAATTCATGTTCAACTCTTTTAATAATTTGAGTTCATATCTGAAAATAAGCAGCAGCAGCAGCAAGGGAAATCACACATTACCATCCAGTTCACTTTGAATCTTATTCCTTTCTCTTTCTAGCTCACTCTTAGCCCTTGCTGTCTCCAGTTTGATGTCTGTTATTTCCAGTTTGTTTGAATGTTTAAGTTCTTTCACCTGTTGATAATTAAAAATTGAAATTACTATTCGTCATTTCCTTGTCATTCAATACTTACCCCAAAACATAAATGGAAACGAGAAAATGCTTTGATAGTAAAGTAGAGTCTAAGTACCTTTCAAGAAGAAAGGAGTGTCAGTGCCTGCAACAGTACTTCAAATAAGGAGACATCAAGAAAACACTGTTCTTTCCTAACAGAACTGAGGCATTTCCTTACGAATATCTATGTATGGTCCTCTGGCTTAATCTTGCCTTAAAGACTTAATCACAAGTATCTAAAATCAAATACTTGATGATTGGAAAATCTGCAGGGAAAAAATTCTGAAACTTTTTAAATTTGTTAATATTTCTAAAAGACAGGGTCTCACTATGTCATCCAGGCTGGAGTGCAGTGGCACAGTCATAGCTCACTTTAACTTCAAACTCCTGGGCTCAAGTGATCCTCTCTCCTCAGCATTCCAAGTAGCTGTCAAGACTACAGGTGCACACCACCACACTCAGATAATTTTTCAATTTTTTTGTAGCGATGGACTCTTGCTATGTTGACCAGGCTTGTCTCAAACTCCTGGCCTCAAGCAATCCTCCTGCCTTGGCCTCCTGAAGTGCTAGGATTATAGGTGTAATCCACTGCACTTGGCCTGAAACCTTCCTTTTAAAAAGTGTCCAGAGCTGGACACAGTAACTTGCACCTAAAATCCCAGCTACTCAAAAGGCTGTGGCAGAAGGAAGTGTCTGAGGCCTGGTGTTGGAGACCACTCTGGGCAACATAGTGAGATCCTTTCTCTGAAAAAAAAAAAAAATTTTAAATTAGCACCTTAGCCCCAGCCATTGGGGAGACTAAGAGGATCACTTGAGTATAGGGGTTTGAGGTTGCAGTGAACTATGATTGTGCCAATGTAGTCCAGCCTGGGCAACAGAGTGAGACCTTGTCTCTAAAAAAATTAAAATTAAATTTAAGAATAAAAAATGTGTTAGGGACAAAGAAGGTACTCTAGGTAGAAGGAACAGCATATAAAATGTTATTATGTGTGTAACATGACATGGTCTGCTCTTAAAACAAGCTATGTATTACATGGAGAGCACCGGCAGATGTGAAATCTGTGGAGGAATGGCAGGGAATAAACTTTATATACCATACGAAAGGGTTGTTTTTCGGTTAGCTGTTGAAGGTGGCACAATTAATTAATGTAAATCTGTTGGCTTAAGAAACTGAAGGTAAATAAATCAATTAAGAGGCAAAGAATGAATAAAGGGGGGGAATGAAGAATCAATTGTATCTGGTGACAAAATAGTCTATGTGTATTGATTGTGTCTGTGTGCGCATGTGCACAAGTATGAGGTAGGGGATAGAGGCAGGAACAAGAATAAATCATATAAATTCATTTTCCATAGCCTTCTCTTTGGTAAGGAGCTTCTAAAATTAGATATAGTCATATAATAAGGATTTAATCAATACAAACATAAAGATTAGATGACCCGTTTTCTGATATATTACCCAAATATAGAAAACTATGGAATCAGAGTAGGAAACTACAAATATATACAAGTCAAATACAGAAAATGTGAGATGGTAGAAACAGGAAAGTAAAAGACAATTTACTTAAGAGTCCAATAAAAACCCCATAAAAACTAGAGTTGGGAGTCAGACACAAATCAAAAAGAGGTCCTAGAGCCAGAGGGCAAGGATGAGAAATAGAAGTGTCTTACTGGAAGAGACTCCATCAACAAAAGGTCCTGAAAATGTTTCAAGGAATAGTTTCATGCAAAATCTTCATTTAAAGGAAATAAACAGAAAAGTGAGTACTGCCTTCGTACTGGTAACTACAATAAGACACCCCTCCAAATTAACTCGTAGATTTTTAAATGACCGTTCATAAAATGGCAACCTTGTGCTGACATCAGTTTTGCATTTTTATTTATTTATTTTTTGAGACAGTCTCGCTCTGTCACCCAGGCTGGAATGCAGTGGCTTGATCTCAGCTTACGGCAACCTCTGTCTCCGGGGTTCAAGCGATTCTCCTGCCTCAGCCTCCCGAGTAGCTGGGATTACAGGCATGCACCACCACACCTGGCTAAATTTTGTATTTTTAGTAGAGATGGGGTTTCACCATCTTGGCCAGGCTGGTCTTGAACTCCTGACCTCATGATCCACCTGTCTTGGCCTTCCAAAGTGCTGGGATTACAGGCACAAGCCACCACACCCAGCCTGCATTTTTAATTTCCTTTTAGAAGTTCTTTTCTACAAAAGTAAGTTTTATAAAATGATGTTTACATGAAAGCAGCTGAGAATTTGTTTTAATACTTAAACTTTCTGTAGATTGGGTTTTACTACATTATAATTTCATGGACAGATAGAATTTAAATTACAAATACTTCAAAATTTTGAGGAAATATAATTACAAAGAAAATCCAATCACTATGACAAACGTAATTATAACCTGCTATTATATACTAACTGTAAAAGGGTAAGAATGACACAGCATTTCATTAACAAACATACTATAGCTGCATAAGGTGGAAAATTAGAGCTATCTTATTTCATAGGAAGTTGATTCACCTCATGGTAACTTCAAGATCTACAAAAACTTCTTTTTCATTTCACCCTAAGATTTATTGAAATGAGAAGACATTTTTAACTAAACTATAATTATTGAAACTGAAAGAACACCGAATAGGAAGTCAAGCAACAAGTGAGGTCTGTCTGTTCAGGCCTCCTTTTGCTGTTAAACCAGTGGTATATGCTCAAGCAATGTACCTGTCCTCTCTGCATCAAATTTACTCATCTATGGATCTTAAGCTTTTCTTTATTGCCTTATTTGTATCATCCTAACATCACCGATGCACTTACACGAACACTGTTAATTTCCTAAAAATATACTAAAAGGAATTTTACTTAAAATAACGTATGAAAATTTATTACCCAGTAATGACAATAATAGCACTTTTCTATGAGTAATCTGAACCAAATTCCAAATGTTACAATAAGGTTTCCTTCTGCCCCTAGATCCCTGGTTCTTAATCTTCTTTGTGATCAAGTCCCAAATCCTAGGAAAATTAGGGATTTTTTAAAAATAAAATGCTCATGTTAAAATGCTGCATAAAATTTCAAGTAATTCATGGTCTCCTGAAGCTCCACTGGATCAAGTCACCCTGTTCTTCACAGAATGTCTGCCATATAGATTCTGGCCTTTATGTTGTGAATTTGCTTTATGTTTTTCACACAATGGAAGTATTCAGATATTACTAACAAAACTTTAATAAATGTCAAAACTGGCAATACTGGGCATTTTATAGGGGGTCAGGATCTGTTAAAGTACACATACTCACAGAAAGACACACAAGAGCACAGTATAAACAAGCAAGAAACGGAAATATAATTGACAATATGTATTACCTAAGAAGCCCTGGATACAGATTCCAAAGAGACGGTACTCAAATCCTGATCGTTTTCAAAGTTCTGAGACGTAATTACCTCATTAATTTAGGTAAATAAGGACAACTCTGTTGGGTGGCTTCCTTAAAACTATCTTTTATTGGCATTCTGAAAATGAAAAACGTTATGAGGGAACTAGAAGAATTTACCTCGCTGAATGTGAAATCTCCTTAAGGTCATCATTTTCAGGCCATCTTTAGTAACACCTTTTAATCCAAGACACTGATACTCACACTGACATAACTTTGTTCTAAAATCTCACAAACATTTATGAATTTGAATAACTTAGACAACACACCCCAGGTGTTCCTTTGCACCGCAAACAACCATTTGCTAGAATTGCAAAATGTTTATGAAAATTTCAAGTTGCAAAGAAAACTGTGGCAGTCATGTTTGAAATATTATTTTAAAATTTACCCTTCCAATGGAATCTTTACATGCAAGACTTCAAATGAAACTTAGTTTGTTTAAAGTTAAAGGATGGTATTTAATACCCCATTTATATGCAAAATAATGCAAGTGTGCCTTTAAAAAGACAGGCAACTCTTAGCAACGTGTATTAATAAACAAGCACAAAGAAATAAATACTATACTAGATTGCTGTTTTTTCTCCAGCAGAGTAGGAGAAATCACCTGTGCTCTAACTGCTAAAAGGAAAGAGCAATAGGGAAGAGTATATATACGGAAAAAAAGAAGGAAAATCAGGGTCAGCACAAAGGTGAGCCAGAGCGCTCAGGTAAAATGTACTGCATGAAAAGTATTATACTTGGTGACCCCCCCAAGAGAGAAGCCACTGCACAAGCCAGCATATCCCATGTCCTGTTGCGACATGTGTGGTTCCAATTATTCCGGCAGTGTAGTCTGGCTACTCAGGTCAAGAACGATGTGCTGCAATACTAGGTATTCAATATTATTTTACAAAACTAAAAATAATTTATACTGGAATTGGAAGAAAAGCATGGAAACTCCCTATATCCTGAATTTACTTGTGTTTTATATCTATTTTTTTTGTATACTCTATAGTTATAAGCGTTGAATGTGTATCTGTTGAATATATAATCTACTTATAGTTAATCAGGAGGCAATCAAATTATTTCCTAGTAGTTCTTACACAGTCTTAGTAGGCTGGAAGAGTTCTTACAGATATAAGGAAATTGGATCCTAATGATACTAGGTAAACTTGCCTAAGGTTACACACAGTTATTGAGACAGTGAGATACAGACTAGTCAATGGACTAAAAATTCTGTATTATTTATGTTACAATATTTTCTTATTTAAGGATATTACCAGTGTATAATCACTGCTATTATCATTTTCATCATCAGCTACATTTAATTTTTGCCACAACTCTATAAAGTAGGTATTAGTCCCATTTCATAGACTTAAGTTTCACTTAAGTTTCAGAGAGATGGTGAACTGCCCAAGGTCACACAGCTATTTTTAGTAACGGAAAAATCAGAATTTGAATCCAGTCTGTTAAGGAGAATATAAATGTAGATCATGCTGCTACTACTAATTTATTCATTGAAGAAATATTTATTGAGTACCTACTAAGTGCCGGCACTGTTCTAGAAGCTGGAAAAGTAGTAGTGATGAAAACAATGTCCCTGCTCTCTTGGAGCTTATATTGGGTTGAAAGGAAGGTGGTGGGAAAGAAAAAGAGAGACAAAAACATAAAAACCAAATAACTATATCAGATAGTATTAAGAGCTATGAAGCAGGTAAGGAAGATAGAAAGACAGAGGAAGAAGGAAGATGCTATTTTCCAATGTGAAGACAAGGAAAGCCTCTCTGGTTAGGCAACATCTAGGGGGTGAGGAGGCAAGTTATGTGGATATGTGAGGGAAGACTGAGTCAAGGTCAGACAAGTGCAGAAACTCTGAGCAAGACGTGAGTTTGCTCAAAGAGTGACAAGGCCAAAGGGAGCAAAGTGAACAGGAGGAAAAATACATGGTCATGGCTGTGAAAAGACTCCAGATCACACAGAGCTCTGAATGGGTAGAAAGCAGAAAGACCAGTAAGCAACCTGGCACAGAAATTGAGCCTAAAAAAATCATGGCTTGGACTAGAAAGGTCACGGTGGATGTGGTAAGAATTGATCAGATTCTGCATGTATTTGGAAGGCAGAGTGATAGGATTAAAAATACTTCAATACAGAGAATGCAAAATTTGTCACTGTACAGTATCAAGTATTCTACAGAATGAAGTAGAGGCATAAGATAACATACTCTACTGATCAATGTATTTATTTCTTGGAAGGTAGAATGATATAATAAAACATTTCAGTATAAAGAAATGAATTATTAAAAATAAAATTTATCATTATATAGTAACAAACATTCTAAAGAATGAAACAGAAACATAAAACAACTTACTTTACTGGACAATGTATTTACTTCTCGTTCAGCTTTATGCAATTTATTAATTAAAAAGGTATTTTGTTCACTGCTTGATTGTAGCTCTTTTTCCAAGCGTTCTGCCCGTAAATTAGCTGATTGTTTTTCAGCCTTTCATTCAAACAAAATATTTTAAAATTCATTTATTTTTCAAGTATTTCAAAAGCAAATAAGCACTATTTAAAATCCATTTACAATTATACAAAAATTATTCAAAACCTCAACATTAACATATACCAATGTAACAAACATTTTCTCAAACTAATTGTAGAATTCAAATGAAAGATAGTGTTTCAGGAAATATGCAACAAAGGTATCTAGACAAACAACATATGAATGACCACCAACAAAATAAAGTTTATATACTTCTCTCATGAGAGAAACTACCTAAGGCATTCACTTGATGTCTATTTATTTTTAACACTGACTTATTTCAAACATTTTTGGAAGTTTCCAGTCTACAACAGATAGGAAAAAGCATATTAGAAAGTAGAAGACAGGGCTCATTGATAGTAACAAGTACAAATTGAAAATCTAAAATCAATGATTTTCAAAAAAGAAATAGGGAAATATATTATTTCAAAATCCTCAGCTAATCTGCAGACTTCTTAAGTGTGAGCAAAGAGGCTCCTGATCTCATGACACAATTAAGATTGTTAATGAAGTCTGTAGGTTGTCAAAAATGTTTCTGGTTGGTAATATTAATAGTACTCTTTCATGAGGGGAGGGGAACTAAAACCTTTTTTAAAAAACATGTCTACTCAACATTATATATATATACACATATATATATACACACATACACACACACACACACACGTATTTTTTTTCAGACAAGGTCTTGCTTTGTCTCCCAGGCTGGAGTGCAATGGCATGATCTTGGCTCATTGCAACCTCAGACTCCCAAGCACAAACAATTCTCCTGCCTCAGCCTCCTGAGTAGCTGGGACTTCAGGTGCACACCATGGCGCCTGGCTAATTTTTGTATTTTTTGTAGAGACAGGGTTTTACCCGTGTTGTTCAGGCTCATTTCAAACTCCTGAGCTCAGGTGACCCATTTACTTCAGCCTCCCAAAGTGCTGGGATTACAGGCATAAGCCACCATACCCGACCTCAACATAATCAAAATGAAAACGTTTCGGCATTTAAAGGATACACTTCAGTTTCATAACATCTCATTTCGTACATATAGATGCTCTTCAACTTATGATGGGGTTACATCCTGATAAACCCATCACAAATTGAAAATATCTAAGTCCATAACTTAGACTGCCTACCTTAAGCATCCTCAAAACACGTGAATTAGCCTACAGTTGGAAAAAATCATCTGGCAACACAGTACTCAGTAAAGAGGTTATTTACCCTCATGATCATGTGACTGACTGGGAACTGTGGCTCAGTGCAGCTACACAGCTTGAGAGTATCATACCACGTATCAGTAACCCAGGAAAAGATCAAAATTCAAAGTACATAAATACATATATGGCTTTCACACCATTGTATAGTCAAAAAATCATAAGTCAAACCACCTTAAGTTGGGGAACATCTATCTTAAATATGTAAGGACTATATTCGACAAATAATTAGGGAAAAAACCTATTTTCTTCATATATGAAATAATACTCTCTGGGCACAATGATAGCCAAGAAAGTTAAAGAAGAAAGAAATGTTTGCTGTCATATGCTTATTTTCATTTCATCTGACAAATGATAAAAATATAGGCTCTTATGAAAATGTCACAAATCTTTTGTCATCATTCAACTTGCCCTGAAAATAATCACTCTAAAGGACCTCAATGGAAAGTTTCCCATCAGAACTGTATGCTATATTCAACTGCAATCGTCTCACTTATTCTGTCACTGTGTAAAATACATAAGGATGGAAGGATGGCAACATAAACAGTCTCACAATGAACTGCTTCATGTTTAAGGTACAATGATACTGACAACTTTTAATTCAGAAAACCAGTAAATACTGACCTAGCGTCATGTAACAAAATAAAAAAGTAACTTCTACTCTTCAAAACATACCAATGTATTCCTGTATCACTGGCTGGGGGAAAAAAAATCACCATCTTGGATTTGGATATTGATTTTAACTACAAATTAAATGCCCGCTAATGCCCCTCCCCAAATCATTTTATAACTATTCCAAAGGAAAAAGAAACACTTTGAATTGTAAAAAATAAAAACAATTAAACAGGTATGTTTGCTACAAGTTAGGCACTAAGAACTAAGAAGAATAAGTATATCTGAGTAAAATGGAAACCAAGAATTTTCATAAGGCAATACCCCTAGGAGTACCAGTCAGGTCTGCCAACACTTATCTTTCTCTAATGAATCCAGGGAAATAATTCTGCAAAGGCATGTATACCTTTACAGTTGGATTTTACTAGTCTGGGAAGAAGCTATCATAAGATATATCAGTATAGTATTTCTGCTCAAGCAGGATTTGTGACTTTAAGATCTCAAATCCCAGTGTAAGGAATGTACTATCTTAAAAGAAATTATTCTTTCTGGTTTGAGATGACTTTACTTTCAGAAACTCAAATACATACATTTTTATTTTGCATATTCTATTATGTGGCATTTTAAGAGTTAAGACATTTCAGATAGGTGACTTAACTCCCACAGAATAAATATCCCTTTATAAATGTGGTAGCATACGTATTGCTTATGAATCAATAGCTTTCTTCTTTACTAAAAGAATAAATACTCTTGGGATTACACAAATGCGTCAGCATTAGCTTGGAGAGCATACATTTATGCTCTAAAAATCAAAGGTTTGTCAATTGCACTTTAAAAAAGTATGCCATACTCTACCGGGAAGTAATCAGAATCTTACCTCCAGGGATCTGACTGTAGCCTGCATCTCAGCCAACTGCCGCACCTGTATTCTTTGGGCATTTTCCACCTGAGTGTCAGAATTCTCCTTTTCAGCCCTTAATTCCGCTACTTCAGCCTCTAACCCTTTTAATTTTTGACACAAATAGACTTTTTCTCGAGCAAGTTGTTCCACTCGTTTGCTGTCTCTTGTGAGATCAACATTAAGCAGCTGGTTACGTAGTTCTTCTTTATCTTCCTCCAGTCTTGCAATCTAAGAATAATTTTAAAGAAAGCATACAAGGTTAATTAAATTTTCAGTCATGAACATGCTTTACAAATCAGTAAAATTAAAAATTGCACAAAATCAAAGCTCAGGTGCTGAAACAAAGTACAAAGGAAAAATTTTTAAGTATCACCTTCTTTCTGTTCTTAGTGAGACTCAAATATGAGTTCAAGGACTGTGTCCTGTTTTCCCTCTATTTCCACGTGGTGTCTAGCACAGGGCTTAATCAGTTGCTGACTAAAATTTAAAAATTATAATACTATAAAAATAATTATCAAAAATACATCAAGTATTTCAAAATTCATCATAACATTATAGGGGTTCATGACCAAAACTCTGACTACTCTTAAGCTTTTCCTCACATGACTGTAATTCTTGAGCTATGTCTATACTAATAAAATTATCTATGTCAGGGCAACTTAATTCACACAAAAACTGCCTGTCTGTGTACATAAAAGCAAATGTGATTGATGAGAGTTTTTAAATGATAGCTGAGAGTTTATTAAAGTCCTAATTGTAATGATGGCCTAGTTCTTAGCCCTTAGATTCAAGAAAGAATTGAAAAATCATTACTCCAGGGCAAGTGTTAAAGTCACTGGGGAACTTGCAGAGCAGAGACATCAGTGGTCTTGTCATTCATGCCAATTATCACTGCTGGACTTCGTGGGCCTCCAAATCAGTGGGTTTCAAACTGTTTCCTAACCTCTAAGGCATTTCAGAAGCTCCTCACCCCTGGAGACCAGTGGCAAGCAACTAGGGTCTATAACTCATTCTTTCCCTTTCCTGATCTCTCCAACTATCTATCCCCTACCACCCCCCCCCACCAAATCTCTGGCATTAACCATAAGCTTCTATTTTTAGTCTCTTTTTGGGGTTTCTTCATATGATTCAACTTAAGTAAAAGATTCAGCTGGGTTTTTTTGTTTTTTAAAAAGTTGAAAACTGCTGCTCAAAACAAGACAGAGGTTGTTTACAGCCAGGATGAACATCAAAGGCTCACTGTAAGCTCCCCCCGAAAAAAAAAAAAAAAAAAAAAAAAAAACACCTAAAGAAATGCTCCACAACCTAGGCAAAAGGAACAACTGTTTGATCACAGCACTACCAATGAATCTAAAAAGTTTAAGACCTCCACCCCAGAGCAGGATCTGTTCTCCACACCTGTAAAATGGGAAACTGAATTAGATGCACTCTAACAACCTTTTTAGTTTTAACACATAGTGATTCCAATTTGTTTCTGGACATGCTGAATTTAAATGCCAATGAGAAATATTGGTAGAGCTATCCAGCAGACAAATATTATTTTCCAGAGAATAAAATTCATCCTTGAAGGCAGCTGTGGTATTTAGAGTTAAGCCCTCAAAGCCCAACTAATTAGTGTTTCTCTCCTATTTTTCCTCCCACACTTTACAAATAACTATTACTTCCTGGTTAGGTCCCAAGATTACCTTTTTATCCACTGTATTCTGTCCTCAGTTTAAATGAAGAACTTGGGCTAGCTGATCTTTAAGATCCTGTTTACCTTTTACATGAGGTAACTTAATATGGTTTTAATGTGCTATATTACAGGTGTGATGGCTCATCTAAGGTCAGGAGTCACTGTGTAACTCAGTTTCAGACAATGGTGCCCTTTACTGAGTACTTAATATGGATCAAATACTGAGCTAAGTGCTCCACATGTAAAATCAATATTAATAATTTCTCTTGTAGTTCCCATTTTACACATAGGGTCACACAGTTCACAATGTTCTTGACCTATATACTTCCTATATTATTGCTTCCTTTCCACGTTTTCAGAGGCATCTGTGTGATAGCCGAAGTCATAGTTGAAGCTACGAGACTAGATGACAGCTAGCTGATGGCTGAGAATTAGATTCCATGTTTATAACTCCTAAACCAGACGTATCAAATCATTCTTACCAAAACTGCCATCTAATTTTACTATTCATTTATTTATTCATGCAACAAATATTTAGTAAGTTGAGTACTTACTAAGTACCCAACACTGTTCTAGGTAGTAAGGACACAACCCAGCAGATAAGCAAACAAACACAAAATCTCTGCTGATGCAGAGCTTATTACAATCATTGCCATAACACTACTCATGTCCCAGACATTCGGCACAGATCTTGGATAAAGCCTCAGCTCTTCCCTTTTCTGCCATTTTCGATCAGACTCACATGTCATCTTCCTTGATTTCCTCAATTTCTTGTGCTCTCAATCTTTCCTCTAAATTTCCAAAGGGCTTTGTTTAAATTTCTCTTTTATGAACTTTATCTAAATCCGCCTGTATTGCAGTTACCTCTACATTTACTGTATTCTATTCTAAATATAAACCTGCTTGACAGATAAGACAATGTGCTGATATTACTTTTTAAAAAGTTATTGAAGTAAAGGAAACTAAACAAAAACAATAGGACTAGGAATAGTGACTGATTTCCTTTTCAAAAAATGATAGCACTTCAATTCCCCCAAGCACACCAGAGGGAAAGGTAGTGTTATCTAATTACTCCATCCTTCCTTGTTTTTATTACCTTTACGATACAAGATAGGGATATGGGTGAGAGAAAAGGCTCTGGAATCAAAGTGCCTAGGTTTTTTTTTTTTTTTTTTTTTTTTTCCCAGTATTTTAAAGATACTGCTCTACTGTCTTCTGGCTTGTACTACTTGTAAAAATAAGTCCGTTGTCATTCTCTGTTCCTCTGTATAAGATGTCTTTTCTTTCTCCAGTTACTTCTTCTAAAATTAAACTTTTTCAGATACTGGTAGGTTCACAAATAATTATTATAAGGATTAATATAGAGGGATCCTGTATATCCTTTAACCAAGATTCCCCTATTGGTAACATTCCTCTTCCATTTTTGGGGAAGACATTATGTAGAATTGGTACTAATTCTTCTTTAAACACCTGGTAAAATTCTCTAGTTAACTATTCATTTTGGGAGTTTTAAAATTACAGGTTCAATTTCCCTAACAGTAATAGCTCTATACAAACTGCAGATTTCACATTAAATGAGTTGTGGTAGTTTGTGCCTTTTAAGAAATTGATCCATTTCACCTGCATTGTCAAATTTATTACAGTAGAGTTGTTCAAAGGATTCTCATTTCCCTTCTAATGTCTGCAAGGTCATGAGTGATACTCTCATTCCTGAGATAGGTAAAATTTGTATCTTCCATCTTTTTTGTTAGTCTTGCTAAAAGTTGGTCACTTTTATTATCTTTTCAAAGAACTAGCTCTTTGTTTCACTGATTTTCTCTATTATTTCTGTTTTCAATTTCTGCTATGTTTATTATTTCCCTTCTTCTGCTTCTGCTTGCTTTATTTATTTATTTTTTGATGCTCTTTTTACAGGTTCTTGAGATGGGAGCTTACATTACTGACTTGTTTTCTCATTTCTAACGCATGTATTTAGTGCTACAAATTTTTCTTGGCACTGCTTTAGCTGTGTCCTAAAATTTTTGATATGCTGCATTTTCATCCAATGTATTTTTTGAAATGTAATCTCACTGAAATGTTTTTCTTTGAAATTTCTTCCTTGACCCATAAATTTTTTTTAAGTATGTCATTTCATTTCCAAGTGTTTGAAGATTTCCCTGTTATTTTCTGTTATTAATTTCTCGTTTGATTCTACTGTGGTCAGAAAACTCACTTGTTATGATTTCAAGTTGTATAAGTTTGTTGAGGTTTATTTTATAGCCCAGGATATGGTCTATCTTGCATATGTTCAGTAAGCATTTATATACATTCAGTGAATACATCAAAAGAATATGTCTGGGTGTTCTCCTTGGGTGGCATGTTTTATAAATGTTATTTAGGTTCTAATGGTTGATGGTGTTATTGCATTATTATTTATCCTTGCTGATTTTTAATTGTTCTATCACTTGTTGAGAGAGGGGTATGAAGTCACCAACTATAATTATAGATTTGTCTATTTCTCCTTTTAGTTCTATCAATTTTTGCTTCAAACATTTTGCACCTCTGGTGCACATACATTTACATTTAGTATTCCTGTGTCTTCTTGCTGGGTTGACCTCTTTTGTCATTATATAATCTCTTTCTATACAAATCTGGTATTTTTCTTTTTTCTTTTTTTTTTTTAAGACGGAGTCTCGCTCTGTCCCCCAGGCTGGAGTGCAGTGGCGCGATCTCGGCTCACTGCAAGCTCCGCCTCCCGGGTTCACGCCATTCTCCTGCCTCAGTCTCCTGAGTAGCTGGGACTACAGGCGCCCGCCACCGTGCCCGGCTAATTTTTTGTATTTTCAGTAGAGACGGGGTTTCACCGTGGTCTCCATCTCCTGACCTTGTGATCCGCCTGCCTCGGCCTCCCAAAGTGCTGGGATTACAGGCGTGAGCCACCACGCACGGCCTAAATCTGGTATTTTTCTTTGTTATGTTCCTTTGCCCTGAAGTCTGCTCTATCTGATATTAATACTGCCACTCCTGCTTTTAATTAATGATTCCATGATGTATCTTTTTATATCCTTTTATTTAAAAACTTCCTATATGGTTATACTTGGAGTTTCCTACAGACATCATACAGTTACCCCTTGACTTATGATGCAATTACATACCAATGAACTCATGAAAAGTGAAAAATATATGTGAAAAATGCAGTTTATGCTGGCAACACAGCATATGGACCCTGACTTATGATGGTTCAAGTTACAACTTTTCAACTTTACAATGGTATAAAGTGACATGCATTCAATAGCAACCATAACCACACTATGTCATAAGGAGCACCCTGACTTACAACGGAGTTACATCCCAATAAACTCATCGTTAAGTTGAAAAATCATCCAAGTTCAACTATTGTAATCTGGGGACTGTCAGTACAGTTAGGTCATTTTTAAAAATATACACTGTAAATCTCTGTATTTTAATTCATGTATTTAGACCATTTACATTTATTATCATTGATATACTAAGTCACTTTTGTTCTGTTTCTTCTCTGTTTTTAGTTTCTCTGTTTTTCCTGCCTGTTACATGA